AGACACACACAGTCAAAGGAGATGTTGAATAACAACAATGAAATATGAGTCAAATTGCAGCCGCGATCTATTTCACAATTGAAATGATTTTTTAAAATTTATTATATATATTTTTCTGGAAATATCACAACAAAATCTTCAAGGTTTTTTTTTTTTTTTTTTTTTTTTTTTTAACACAACGTATTTTATTTCGTTGCAAGAAAAAACATCGTTCGAGACTGAGGATCCTCACAATTCAACCTAGTGTTATCTTGGCAGCCTCAGCCAGTTTAACTTAAAGTGATCAATCGTGAGTCCTATAACTAACTTCAACTCCCTTCTACTGTCCACTGGTATTCCTACTGTTAAAACTATATATTACCTACAACTGTCACCAATGTAGTCTTACTAACTATCCCTTCTATCCCCTATTCCTACTCCCTTTTATCCACAGACCTACCATCGCCCTGAACCCGGCTGAGCTCGACCGGGAGGAACCATTATTCCTTTATTTTGGACCGGACACTCTCCTCCCTTCCCCCCCTTTGCGGTCCATTTCGGCCACCGATTGGAACCAAGTGCGCCTGGTTCAGGAAAAAAAAAAAAGTCAGTTCAACCATGACGATATTCGTAGCTTGTTGCCTTCTAACGAAGCCAATCCTCCCGACAGTGCCGAGGTTTTCATAAACCACCTCCTTCCCGAAATAGTGTGTTTGGGCATGACTTTTTTTCTCCAATCTGCTATGATTTCGATCTTCAGTATCTCTTTGAAAAGTTTCTCTGCTTGAGCTTCCTCTATCCCCTGCCCTTGAAATATGCATGCATTCCTATCTAACTAGATAACCCACATGAGCGTTGCTCTGGTAACTTGCTCTATGTATCCCCACCCTTTCAGAGTCGAGTAGTACTCCGGTAATATACCTTGAAGTACCCAACGTTCATTCTGACCGATGATTTCCCCGGACATCTTCTTCTAGTGCCTAAACCACCATTCCCACCATTTATTGGACCATGGGCAGACCCACAACATATGGGTCATCGTCTCCACTGGCCACTTACAACGATCACACTCCTGTCTTACCTCCATCCCCCTTCTTCCTAACCACCTTGCTGTAGGAACTGAGAGGTGAGACTGTACCCACAGTAAGGAATCAAATTTTCAGATTTTTTCACGCATTATTTTGAGCGCAAAAAATCACTGAAATTATAGTACTTTTTTCGTTGGCCCACACATGGCTGAGTGACAAAAATTGAGCAATTGTTTCGCAGTCTTAATGAATTTATGATTTTTTTTTGATATTTTTCTTGGAAAGAACACAACCTAATCTATGGATTCTCAAATTTTCGGTTTTTTGTGTGAATTCCTTCGAGCACAAGAAGTCACCAAAGACGCCTCCCCTTCTTACTTCTTTTTCAGGTCTGCTTCCACCCGAGGACCGGTCCTCCCTTTCACCAAAAGTTCCGGTTCTACGAGAGCTATCTGTAGGTCATTCGCAATATCGCCAAGGACTAGTACCCCAAAAATGTATGCCTCCTGAGAACCTACTTGAGTCCTGGTCGTCCGCTGCGAAAAATGCGACATCGTGACACAGACGCTGAATTGCAGTATACGGGCTGTAGATGACAATAAATAAAGGTTTGGAAGGCCGTCTTGTCCAGATTCGACAGGTACTTGATTGGTTGGGCATCCCCCTAACGTCAGAAACCTCGGGGGTACCGGTAGTTCCCCTGACGTCAAAAATTTCAAGGGTACTTTTAGTATAGAGTGGAAAACCGATCAGGCCTGAAAAAATAAAATTTGTGAAAATGCACAAAATCGGTGTGGCAAGTATTTGACGGTCAAAATTTTGTTTTTTTTTCCTGATATTTTTCCCTGAAAGATCACGACCTAATCTATGGACCCTCAAATTTGCAGACCTTTTGATGAATTCTTCTGAGCACAAAAAATCGGCGAAGTTGCCGCTTGCGAATGGCAGGATTGGACCCGCCTGTGACGAACGGTGGTTGCCGCCCCTCCGTACAACCCAGCCCTAGCTCACCGGGCCGAGGGGTTTCGGCTGGCGGGGGGACCGGTGGCAGCCACCCTTTCAGCCTGACCGTGTCTGTATAGTGGCCCGGGTGCGTTTTCCATTTACACCCCGGCCGAAGCTGCGCCCAGGCTACTTCCTGAGGCTGGGAAGGCCCCGGTGGTTACCAACTGGGCAAAACTGAGCTGGGCGGCACTACACCATGCTGATCCGGTAGTACTGGGCCAACGGCCCAGATGGACCTAGAATCTGCCTACCGGTACCAGTTGGTCCTACCCCCGCCCAGGCCCTACCCAGGCCCTACCGCCGCCCTGCTGATAGTGCGTGTGTTCCTGCGTGCGCGCGCGTGTGAGGGCATCTCTCCATGTGCATGTCTTCTGTTGCTTATGACTGTGAGAGAGAGAGAGCGAGAGGGCCGCGGGGAAGCATGAGGAGTGTGCTGCTGGAAGAGCCAAAAGTCGAACTTTTTTTTTCTTGTCGAAGGACCGGTGAATAGTTCCGCGCGAAAGAGGTAAGCCGCGATCCGTCCTCCTCCCCCTCCTCCTCCTCCCTTTGCCCTTGGACTTCGACATCTGTCGCAATACGCGTCTTCACCTGCTTTACCCATTTCTCTTGCCCGCCGACCTTTCCTCGCCAACATCTTGAGATTTTAAGCTCCGGTGGCTTCAGCTCCCGTCATTGCGCTCCGCACGCCCTGCTTGCGTGCGTGCCATTGTTTTCGATCCCACTTAATACTAATATCGTTGGTATAGTCAACGAGCAGCTTTTGCCAAGTTTTGTTGATTTGTGTTTGTATCGCGCACACACACACACACAGACACACAGACACACACACACAGAGAGAGACACAGAGAGAGAGAGAGAGAGAGAGAGAGAGA